AGAGAGAGAGAGAGAGAGAGAGAGAGAGAGAGAGAGAGAGAGAGAGAGAGAGAGAAATTTTCTTGGGTCCTTTTCAGATTTTTTTTTACAACCCCTCTATCCCCTTCTGTAGAAGCAAGATTTGCAGCACTCAAACATCTTCTCTATGAGAGAATACCAAATATTAATAGTATTTTCAGTGATCTCTCAAATTCAAAATAAATTTTCCCCAAATTATAACATTTGTAAGTATTGTGAGTAGTAGCGTCTTGTACATTTGCCTCAGAAACTCTACAGGTGTTTGGGATGTTACTTCATTTAGAGCATCAATAAAGCCTGTTTGAGACTCCTGGGGAGAGACCCACAGGTAACCACTGTGCTGAGTCAGCATAAAGCGGTAGTCAGTTTCAGGGTCTTGTATCGCACCCTGGCATTTTAGGCAACTGAGTGATTCGCTCAGACCCAGCTCTTAAACCTGCACTCAACTTTTCAGTTACTTTTAACATGATTCATTTTTATTTTGGTTTTTATTCTTTGGGAGGGGAACTTTTTTTTTACTGTTTTTATTTTGACACAATTTTATTAAGGCATAATTGGCATATATGCAGTAAACTTGACATACTTTATGTAGTTAAGCTGTGATGATTGTGTACACCTATGAAACCATCACCACAATCAAGATAATGAATGTATCCTTGCACCTTTTGTAATATGTCCCTCCTGCCCCCCTTAGAGTCGTTCATTCCCAAGCAGTTGCTAATATTGTTTTCTGCCACTGTGAATCTGTCTGCATTTGGAGGAATCTTACAGAAATTAAATCATTTGGGAATGATCCATACGGAGGTCCTCTAAAACAAAATGCTAATTTTAGAAAGAGGTTTTGGGCAATGGAAGATGATATTTGTAACAGAAAGTTTTATATACCTTTTCTATAGTTGATGGGGAATGTCCTTCTGTGTATGTTTATCTTATTGGTTGTTGAATAAAGTACTGTTGGCCAATGAAGAAGCAAGTTAGGTGGGACTAGGAGTCAAGGAGGATTCTGGTAAAGAAGTGTTGTGATCCAGGCAGGAAGTGACATAGCAGGCAGACTCAGAATATAAGCAGGGACAAGAAGGAAATCGTCCTCTTGCTCTTCCTCTTCCTGCTCTCTTCTCTATGGAGCCGCCATGTGATCCCAGGAAGAGGATGCCAGCGGAAGGCGTCCTCAATAAGATAATTCATATAAAATATATAGATTTATGATAATTAAGACTGAGCTAGCATATAAGAAATGCTAGTCAATTGGCCAGCAGCATTGTAAACTAATATAAGACTCTGTGTGAGCCAGGCATTGGTGGCGCACATCTTTAATCCCAGCACTCGGGAGGCAGAGGCAGGTGGATCTCTGTCAATTCAAGGCCAGCCTGTTCTCCAGAGAGAGTACCAGGATAGGCTCCAAAGCTACACAGAGAAACCCTGTCTTGAAAAACCAAAAAAAAAAAAAAAAAAAAAAAAAAAAAAAAAAAAAAAAAGACTCTGTGTGTTATTCTGGACGCCCACATGGCTGTGGGGCTCGGGCGCATGGAGTAAAGATTTATTGTTATGTATAATATTCTCAGTAACTAGTCTTTCGTATGAGTAGATATATTTATATTAGTACTAAATAACATTATGTAACCCAAACAGAGTATTAAAAATGTTGTGATTTTCCACTTTACATATAGGAGCTTCTTCTTAAACCTCGGGTAATTTAGTTGACTTGCTATTTTTAATTTTCAGAGCATATAGGATTGGGCAGTGTAGAGATGTTAAAGTGCTTAGACTGATATCCTTGGGGACAGTGGAGGAGATCATGTACTTACGACAGGTCTACAAGCAGGTAAGGATATGCCTCATTCTAAGTTAGAAGTAAACATTTGTCTATTTTCAGAAATTAGGAACAAATTTGTATAAAGGGAGTTTTGAATTTTATTCTAGTATGGAATTTACTAAGATTATAAAATATACTCTAAATACATTTGCATGAAATATACTGATTGATAAGTTCATTGGATTTTTTCCCTGAAAGCTTCTTAAAGCAGTATTTCTTAAACCTTAATGTGCATTTAAATCATCTAGGGATTTTGTTGACATGCAAGTTCTGGTTAAGTATGTCTGAGGTACAGCCCAAGACTCTGCAGCTTTTTGTTTGTTTGTTTTCTCTTGTGTGCTATGATTTAAGGCATGTGCTACCACTGCCCTGGCAGCTCTGCATTTTTAACTAGCTCCCAGGAATGCCATTATTCTGCTAGTACACTGATCACAATGTAAAAAATGTGGTCACACCTCCCACACAGTGAGCCAAGGTACAATACGTGTACCATAGGTGAGTTTCAGGTGCCCAGAGGCATCATTCTCACAACTCAGGGCAGGAATGCCTGAGCCACCCTTCAGCCTTAAGGAACCTCCTCTTCAGTTTGATATTCATGGGTTACCATCTTCTGTAAGTGCTGAGACATGAGAAAGATGGAGGAGATATGGATACACTGTAGGGAAACGGACTGGAGAGATGCCCAGTGAATGAGATTGTACAGCTTGACTTCAGCTGCTGCTTGGCGCTCTGAGTGTTCATCTGAAATCTCATTGGCTCTTTCCTGTGTGTAGGGTATTAATTTCTGTTCTTTTTATACTTATAAATAAACATTTACTCATTTAGAATTGCTCATTCAAGAAGCTCTGGACTGAGGTTCACGTTTAATTACAAGTATTAAATTTGAATTGCTCCCTTTATATTTGGTTGGCATCTATTTAAGAGCAAACATCTTTCACATGTGGTGGTAGTTAACCTAAAAATGATCCAATCTTAAAACTCATGCTAACTTCTTCATTCTAAAAATAGAATTATGCACAGCAGTTTGTGTATTTTCTTAAATCATTTAGCTCTAAAGGAAACAGTTTGGAACTACTTGAGAGAATTTCTTTTCTAGCTTAACCACTTGTGAAAAAAAAAAATGAGGCTATTTCTTAGGACTTGTTTTAAGTTCTGTCTTAGACTGGTCATTAAGTATCATTTCCTTAATCATGTAAGTTTTTTTCAACCTATTATGTGCACTTTTACTTTTATCTAAAATGGCTTATTATATACTGTAAAATAATATATAATAAAAAGTTTTCAGGAGACAGTGTCATAGTGTTTAGAATTTTGTATGACACATACAAAGATAAGGTAGCAATCTGGTAAGGAAAAGGTATAATACATGGTTTGAAGATAGTTTGGAGTTTGAAACAAGGATGCATATCAGGCATAAATACATTGAGCCTCATATTCTTTGGAGAAAAAGAATAAAAATCCAAGAACAAAAAACAACTATAAATATGTCGGAACACAGAACATTTCTCAAAGCCCCAGAAATTATTTAAGGAATCCTTAAAGACAGAAAAGAGAGAAATTCAGTGAAAATCAGCCAGGGGGAGACCACCAGAAAGTCAGACAAACACTACTGCAAAAACAGGTTCCTGGGGGCTCCTTGGAGTGTGTGTAATAAGGTGGTTTAGCATGTACTCTTCTTATCTGTTTACCATACACCCAGAAGTTGTCTGTTCCTGGTATAGAACAACAAATACTGAAAGTAAGACAGCTTAAACATTTTGCTGGCATACATAAGAAAGTCATTCTCATCACCAGAAAGCTAAATACTTGGACAGTCTCTACCCTACTCCAAATAACTATGGCAGTAGTCTGAGATGAGCATGTATTTAAACACACTACTAACTAGTTGAAGAAAATGAAGAGCACAACAGTGTGCTGGATTGTAGTTAGCAGATCTTAATCCCTGGAACCATATTACTTTATATAAAAAAAACATGTTCGTGCATGAAACTATTTCTTTGTAGCTATAATTGCATTGCAAAGGCATCCAGAATGATCCAAGCGGGACTTGGATTTGGGTCTGCTGTGCTCCTATGCAGTCATTCAAATAGTCTGGTATAAAATAACATCTACACAGCACCTGTGTTCCTTCAAATTTGAGCACCATATGTAATCAAGGTTGGCATTTTGAAAATTGCCTCATCTACATGATGTATATAGGTATACATATACACATGCATGCAAATTATTTAGAAAACTTTACAGAAGAATTGGATAAACAGCTCAAAGAACTCCAAACTTGCCCCAGTTCCCATTTTGGTAACATTTTTCATGTTTGCTGCCTTCTTGGAGCTATTACTTTTCTTCTTTTTCTGGGCCATTTGAAACTCAGACTTAACAACAGTGTGTATTTCCTGAAAAATCATGTATAAATTTTACACATTTATATTACATTATAAAATAGTCAGCAAATAGAGAGTACATCCTTATGGTGATGCTAAAATGTCATATATCCATATATATCATTAATGGCTCCATTGTTGATGTTCTCAAAACTCTTGACAATGGTGTTTCTAGGGTTTTCATGGTAGTTGTGTCAATGTAATTAAATCTGCAGTTAGGTTGACATCAGCATGTTTTTGTATAGTTACTTTAGATTGTAAATAAGTGATAAACAATTGTGCCAATATTAGTTTTTAATATAATAATTTTAAAAGAAGAAACGTGTATTTAGATGTCATCTTTCATTCTTAAACATTTATAATAATGTAATCTTGACTCAGTAATTAAAAGACAGATAAAATAGGAAATGTAAGATGCCTGCTCCAGTAAGGTGGCCAGAATATTATTATTTCACCATAATGACAACATCTGCAGGGAAATTAAAACAAAATCTCCTCCTCACGGCAATTCAGCCAACCCAACTAAAATTGTGTGTATGCAGGGAATGCCAGGAAATTCTGACATACTGTTGGAGCAAACACTTCAAAAATGTCTTGTATTTTTCTGTTACAGCAACTTCACTGTGTAGTGGTTGGAAGTGAAAATGCCAAGCGATATTTTGAAGCAGTACAAGGATCAAAAGAACATCGAGGAGAGCTCTTTGGTGTCCACAACCTCTTCAAACTAAGGGCCCAAGGGTCATGTCTTACGAGAGACATCTTGGAGGTAGGGAGCTGGTCTGTGACCTCTTCAGCGATGGTTTAAGGACAGTTTCATCATTTGGAAATTGTGAAATACAGATGGTGTTCCTTTTCAGAGAAAATTCTCATTTCCCTTAGCAAAAATACCTGCTTAGAATTTCTACTTTTAAAGAAATGGGAAATGAATTGCATCTCAAAGCCAAGCCTTTCTCGTGGATACTTACAATGTGTATACCCAGTCCACGTATGAGTTAGTATGGCCTCCATGGCCATTTTCAGACAAACAAAGCTGAGAGGAGTTTATTATTTTGAAAACAGCTGTTGAAATTGAGAGCTAAAAAAATTAAGATTTTCCTAAATAAAACTGTAAAAACATGTTTTGATTAGAAGTTACAAAATACTCCCCGAGATGTACTCTCCAGTCTCTTAGAGATTTTTTTGTTTTCTGTTCCCAATAAAAATTCCACACCAGTATTTCAAACTCTTAGCTATGTTCATGCTCAGCATACAGATGTTTCTTATTCTTCAAATGAGACACTTAGATGGCTTTAAAAATTCCGTTAAGTTCATTAATTTGCCAGAACACTGAAAATATTATCGTGTTTCCCAGCTGATACTAATGTAGTTATCACAAAGCCCTGGAGTATCACCCTTTTTCATCTCCTTGTTACATAGATGAGAAAACAGCCAAGGAGAACTCCAGGTTACCTCCCTTGGCTTCTGGGACTTCATAGTAAAATTCCTGACTGTGTTTCCTTTAGTAAGCATCATAAATTAAGTTTAAGAAAAATTACTCCCTGTTTTGAGCAGTTTCAGTCCTGATGGAAATAGAGAGTGTTCACACTAATGGACATGAGCTGTCAGTGTCACACGTAATGTCAGCCTCTTGGCCATCGTTCAGGATGAGCCCTGGTGGATGGGAAGGAAGGCCTGTATTGTCGGAGTCCTGCTCTGCAGCCTCTGGTGTTCTGTAGTAACTACTGACTCCAAGTAGCCCAGTAATGTTCTGTAGTGGATATGGATGGCAAATGCACTCCTGACACAAACTAGAGTGCTGTGGTTTCAACACTCAGTATCTTGATGCTTGTGTGCTGAGTGTGCTCTTTCTTAATGCTGTAAGAACAGCTGTTCTAGGCAGGGTTCCTGGGCAAAGGTGTGAACTTTTGTGCCTCCCAAGAGTGCTTTCAGTGGAGTTGAACAGACCCTAGTTTTCCATTATGTGAAACTGTATGAACTCAGCAAATGAGAAAGTGTTATTAAGAATGCAAAGACACACTTAGTCTGCCTTTGCTGTTGTTTTCCTCTGTATTTACAGCCGTTTTTATATTCTTCCTTGTGGATGTTATAGAGAGAAGGCCAAGTGGAAGCTGGCATCATGACAGCCACAACATGGTTGAAAGGGGGACCTTCTGCCCCAGAACCAGAAACAGTGAGTACCAGAAAACATGGGCTGTGACAGTCTTTTCTTTTACTTCTTCATTTTTCAGTATGTAAAAATAGAAAGTTTTCTAAAAGCTCAGAGACACAAAGTCACAAGATGATGAGTGAGACTAATTATTTAAGGTGAGCAGTATTCATCCAGGAGCAGTCACCCTCAAATTAAATACCTTGTATAAGTGACCACACCAGACTATTTTTTATTTTAACTGAAGGACAAGTTAATTAGAGAAATGACCGTCAATGTGTATCTAAGATTAAATCCAAGTATTAAAATCATTCTGTAAAGCAAAGCAAGTATTGTATTGGTTTGAGTCTGCGATCTTAGGATCTCATCACACAGCCATGAAACCTACATTGTTACCAGAGGCCATTATAGATGCACGAATAAGATACATGGGACTTGGTTAGTTATAGGTTAATTTTATTCTGGGAGAAGTCACTTACATGAGAAACCGATGACCCACAAGTTCCAGCTCCAAGAGAGTGAGCTGGGGTCTGGGACCTCAGACCTAGCCTTCCCCATCACATCTGCACCTATGACCACCCTTGAACAGGTGTGGTCAGTGCAACAGGTGCAGGCCAAGTGGATAGCTCACTACAGGCCATGTTAGGTATAAGCTACAAGAACATGCAGAAGATTTTTATGTTACTGTTTTTGCTGGGGTTTTTTGTTTTTGTCTGCTTTTGAGATTTATATTTATGTGAACTGAGCGACCTTGAACTTGGGGAACTTGTTTTTATTTACCTATTTTGTGTTCACACCAAGTTGGTTCCTGAGGATCAGGCTCAGGTTGTTATGCTTGGTCAAAGGTACCTCTCCCTCTGAGCCATCTTGCTGGCCCAGGTTGACCGTTTTTTAAAATCAGATTAAACAGAAATATCAAATATTGGTAGAAGTATCAGATTAATTTCTGAGAATATTTACAAATTAAGCCTCAATTTTAGGAAACTGAAGGTTGTTATTAACTTGGGTTACTGTGAAAGGGAATTGAATTTAAATTTGTAGCATTTTTTTGTTCTTGAGACAGGGTCTCATGTAGTCAAGACTGGCCTGGAATTCCTTGTGAAGTACAGAACGGTCTTGAACCCCTCATCCTCCTGTCTGTCTTCCAGTTCCTTTGTTTTTCTTACCGCAGGCATGAACCACTGCACACAACCCTTCCCTCATGCTTCCTAATGTTTCTGTCTGCTTTTTCACATAGCCTAGAGACCCTGACTGTCAAGAACCTACAGAGGTTTATGAGCTCTACAGTGACCTCAGTGATGACGAGTCAGCAGGCCATCCCCTTGGAAAGACTGCTGAAGACAGAGTCTGTGGCTCCAGTAGAACTCCAGGCTCCTCAGCACAGCTCACTTTGCTACAGTGTGGATTCTCTAAATTGTTTGAGGCAGACTGCAAGTCAGTACAGGATGGCGATGGAAACCCGACCTCTGGTGACGAAAGTTCTGATGAACAGCCCACATGCCCGTCACCAGAGGCCAAACAGACTGCCTGTCAGAAAACTCGGGACTCTGTTTGTACTTCAGAACATTGGAAATCAGAGAACATCCAAAATCCTAATGAAAAATGTGGTTCTGATAAAAATAAGACTTTAGAACAGAACATTTCTTCTGAATCTGATGATGAGAGAAAGTGTCACAGTACAGCTGGACTTGATGGCATGGGACAGAGTGACACAGAGTCAGAAGACAGTGATGTCATCTTTCCCACACAGTACCCAGCTCACAATAACCGTATACGCTTTAAGCTGTTGTTAGGTGGATCTGAAGATCCTAAAACAGGAAACCCTGTGAAAATAAATGGTGTTGATGGTAGACCGAACAGTGGCAGAGGAAATGAGCCAGTTTCAAAACTCTTGAGTCCTGAGAACATGACCTCGAAACCTGTTAGGAGAAGAAAATGTACGGATGATATTAGTGATGAATCTGATGACATCGATATGTTCCCCAAGTCAAGAATACGAACGCTTAAGAGAAAGAAGAAAAACAGAAGGGAGCTTTATAAGTCTCCGACAACGGCAAAGGATCCCAAACAAGTGTGGGCAACAGACGGGGGTTGTAGCTCTCAGGTCATTGATGATTTTTCATCCTCAGATGACAATTCGTCTGCCCACCACTTGAGTTTCTCTAAACTGAATCACAAAGCAGAAACCATAAAAGATGAAATCAGTTTGTTCCCCAAGCTGCCTGGCATGGATAAGAAAAATAGCGCTTTTATGCCAAGGGAACCAGCAAGCTTTTTATATGAAAGAGTTGCCAGTCAAGAGCAGATGTGTGACTCAGTGGATAAAATATTAGGTAACTATAACTGTAGACATTCTGCAAACATTTCCCTAAATAACTGTTTTCAGTCACATATTCTATGAGATGATTCAGTTAGCTGTAAAATAGTTCTAAAGTCAAGATACTGCATTGAGGCAGAAATAATTAAGGATAATGTAGAAATAACAAAATCACAGGATAAAGGGAAGGCCACCTACAGGAGGATAGAGTTTTGCTGTCTCCCCGTAAGACTCCTCCATGCGACTTACCCTCATCATAGCTTTCTGTTCCGTATAACCAATTATTTTGACTTACAGAGTAATTCTTTACATATATTGTTAAGGTTTTGTCACATGGATGTGTATTTTCATGGTAGCATAGTTTAGTCTTGTCCATTTACTTCATTTTATATAGTCTGTGTATTCTGTGAGAATCTTCCTCCATCCTTTCATTATTTTATAATTTACTTAGAGTTTCCCTCAATCTGCATTTTTTTTCTCACTATTCTCAGCAGTTAGACATGTGCTCTGACCTCTGCATTACCTGCAAATGAGTAGTACTGGGAGTTTTCAGTGGTCATAGTATTTGTATATATGCATGAATAGTTTATATGCTATATTTGTGATCATATATATTAATATGTGTATTACACATACGCTCATTTGTGTATGAATACATATGCACATACGTTTTATATGGTTATATGTGATGATGAATATACCACATTCATCATGAAAATATGTTTATATTTTCATATTTATAGTGGTACTTAATTAGAAAGTTCTCTCTCATCTCCATTATATTTGAATACTATTTCTTTCATCTTGATCGTTCTGGTCATATGCAGTGAATGATTTAGTTATACTGTTCCATAACTGCTTGTTTGTTTTGTCTCGTATTAAACAATAGTGAAAGAATGAGTTGGTATGATACTACAATAAAGGTTGGAGATGTATCCCAGAGGTAGAGCACTTCACTTTATTACCAAAATAGCATCACTAGAAACATTCTTTTAGTTTTGTTTGTAGACATACTATTCCATTTCTTTCCATTTGTTACAATGGATACACCATGTCTAAACTGCCAAAGACATTGGCATTCCCCTTTGGTTTCACTCCCACATGGTATATAGGTAACTAGAAATTTCATGGTCCCTTTCATTCCTTGTGTCAATGTCTCTAAATCATTTGTATCATCTGGACCTTGTTTTCTAGTAAGTTTTTAAAGACATGTTGCTGAAGAATTGTTTTTTTTTTCTCTAGGGTTCTTGTGGTGGTAATGATTTGTACCCTGAGAGCCAGTTTTTCTGGATATAAAGCTCTTGGCTCACACTTTGTTGAGTATTTTCAGTATGAAGCTTCATTTTCATCACTCCTCCCAATACACAAGGAAATCATTTTCTCTTCATTGCTGTCCAGTGGTTTCACCAGATTGTGTCTGGTGCTTATCCTGAGTCAGTATTCTTATATGCCAGTGTAATTTCCACTCAGCCTTTCTTTCAGGAACATTTGTGCTTCTGTTAGTTACTTGTTCAAGTCTCTCTTCTTGTTCAGATGTTCAGTCTTTGACACTGGTCTTGAGAATTCTTCAGTCTCTTAAATCATCTTTATCTTTTGATTTGTTTGTTTTTTTTTTCTTGTCATTGTCTATTGTATTTATTTCCTCTTAATGTTTCTTCTCGATTAGTCTTCACTTACAAAGGATATTTTCTTAATGTCTCAGAACATCACTTGTTTCTAAATTATTCTAATTCTGTTTATATTGTTTTTGTTGTTGTTTTGTTTTGTTTTGCACGTGGGGGAGGAAGCAGTCAATACAAGGTTTCTCTGTGTATTCCTGGCTGTCCTGGAACTGGCTCTGTAGACCAGACTGGCCTCGAACTTCAAAGATCCACCTGTCTCTGCTTCCCAGGTGCTGAGCTTAAAAGCACCACTGCCTGGCCTGATTCATAGTGTTAATTTGTGTCTTCTTTTGTGGTCTTGAAGTGTCTTGCCTAAAAGTTTTGACATGGTTGTAGTTTTTGTCAGAGTCATTTCTTGCACAGATATCACTGTGCTGCTTACTCTTTTTTTTTTTTTTTCTTACAATTTTCAGGATTTGACCTGGATAATTCTCTCTTGATCTTTTTAAGGGGAAATTGCTCCCCTGTTCACTGCTGAATCCTGCTCCCCTGCTCACAATGATTGCCACCCCATGTTGCTTCTCTTTGCTGGGCTCTGGCTGGGAAGCAGCACTGGTAAGTGGGCCAGTGTGGGAAATTATATTATATAGTTAGCTTGCCACATTCTCCTGAGGCCTTCAGTCCTGGTGAGCAGAACACCTTCCCTCTGCGTGGCCCTTCCTGCCTCCCAACAAATGTCCTGGGGTCTCCTGTTCTTAGGTCTGTCTTATGCCACACCTTCCCGGACCTTTAATGTTACATAGCAGTGCTTCTCAGCCTTCCTAACACTGCAGCCCTTTAATTCGGTTCCTCATGTTGAGGTGACCCTCCTCCAACCATAAAATCAGTTTCATTACTACTTTATAACTCTAATTGTATTACTGTTATGAATTGTAATGTAAATGCCTGTATTTTGTAATGGTCTTAAGTGACCCCTGTGAAAGGGTCATTTGACAACCCGCCAAGAAGTTGTGCCTCTAATTGTATTACTGTTATGAATTGTAATGTAAATGCCTGTATTTTGTGATGGTCTTAAGTGACCCCTGTGAAAGGGTCATTTGACAACCCCCCAAGAAGTTGTGACCCCATAGGTTGAGAACCACTGCTATGTAGTTTTGCTATGGCAGATTGACTCTACTTAACTGAGGGTGTCTTCTCATCTAATTTTGTTTCCATGTGTCTGTAGGTGTCTACTTTTGTTGTGTAGTTGCTGTTTGATATCACCTGGGGATTCAGAGGGAATGAACAACTTCTGTTCAGAATCCGCTTAGTGATTATGAGTTAGCATTGCTTTATGAGTCTCTTACTTATCCCCCATATGAAGAAAGATAAAATAAGGTGCTCCAGGCACCTTAATTGTTAACTTACACATTAGGCTTTCTCTTACGGATAAGACTCACTTAAAATTTTTCTATTATATATGTGTATTTTGGTACCATTATTAACTCAGAACAGGGTTGTCAATTGGTTTGCTTACAGTAGTGACATTAGAGGGTTAAGAGATTGTTACAAACGCTTTTAAAAGTAATTATTGGAGGTTTTTAAGTAAGAGTTAGTGGTATTTTGCTTCACATGTAGATGTTTTCCTGGTAACTTTTAATTACATGATGCAGCAGTGTCTTGTGTTTTGTGCTTGGTGGTTGCTGGAGGGTTCAGGGCTAAAACAGCAAGAGTGTTGAGGTCACAGTTGAAGTTCATTGCCAGGGCTGTTTGAGGCAGGTTTTACAGGCCTTAGTTCTAGCCTCTTCTTTTATGACCGCAATTGCAAAATAAATTATTAGAACCTAGAAGCAAAGCAGTAAAAAATACGGCCGCTTTTAAAACCACTTTCAGATAAAAAGCTATGAGTTAATTTTTTTTTTCATTTCCTAAAAAGCTCTCATCTTGACATTCTCTGGGCATGTGTACAAAAAAATACAAAATACAAACAATAAAGTTGAGCACCGCCAACCAAACACAACTTCCTGGTCATAAACCCATACTCCCTCCCATCACTGCCATCAAGTACTTTTTTAAAGGAGCAGATAAGCCTAGAGCACCTCCTTAAATGAGCAAACAACAACTTGAAATTAACAAAGAAGAAAAATCAATAGAGGACAACTAACCATGATACTCACAGATAAAAATCTCCATTTCAGATTTAAATTTAAAAATTGTTACTTAATCTCGGCAGTTCTCATATTGATGAAATTAGAAAGTCATTTCCAAGTTAGCCTGGATCAATATATTTTGAACTCCTTTTCAGTTTACTTTTTTTTTTTTTAATATTGTGATAGTAACATCATTTTTTAAAGATTAAAAATAAAGCAAGCAGTTAGGCATAGTTGCTTATACCTATAATTTCAACAATACTCAGGGGGCTGAGATAGGAGAATTGCCATGAGTTTTAGGCCCTCCTGAGCTGCAGCATGAGTTCTTGTCTCAAGAAAACAACAAAGATAATAATAATTGTAAAATAAAGCAAACATAGCCAGGTGTGCAGGTGTACACCTTTAATCCTAGCATTGGGAAGTCAAGGGCAGGATTAACTGTGAGCTTTGAGACTAGCCTGGCCTACAGTAGTGAGTTCTAGGACACCAGGGCTACAAAGTAAGGCACTGCCTCAAAAGAAAGGCCAGGCGTTGGTGGCACATGCCTTTAATCCCAGCACTAGGGAAGCAGAGGCAGGTGAATCTCTGCAGGTTTGAGGCCAGCCTGGTCTATAGATCGAGTGCCAGGATAGGTTCCAAAGCTACACAGAGAAACCCTGTCTCGGAAAAAAAGAGAGAGAAAGAGAGACAGAGACAGAGGGAAGGAAGAAAGGAAGCAAGCAAACAAGCATAGCTAGGAGGCTAAGGCAGGAGAATCACAAGTTTGAAACTAACCTCAGCTACATAGCAAGACTTCTCAAACACTAGAGGAAATAAAGCAGGTTTATCCTGTTCTTAGTGTGCTGTTGGTAACTAGAGCAGTATTGCTTCATGGCATCGAATCATGGAATGAACATTGTCGTCTCCTAGGTGGTGTTCAGGAAGTGGCGTATATCCACTCAAATCAGAATGTGATTGGATCAAGCAGAGCTGAGAACCACATGAGCCGATGGGCAACACGTGATGTATTTGAGTTGAAACAGTTTTCCCAGCTCCCTGCCAATGTAGCTGTTTGCAGTGCTAAGGTAAGAAAATTTAGTTTTTAATCTCACTTTTCACCAGAGTTCCTCAACAGGGTCCTTTTTATGCCTTCCAAAGTATCTGTTGATTCTTTTAAGAGATGTACAACTAAGTGTGGAAATTCTATATAGCATTATAATAGTCATATAATCACAGAAGATGTTTGGGATTTGTGGTGGCTTGAATAAGAGTGGGTCCCATAGACACATATGTTTGAATATTTGGTCCCCAGTGGGTGGAACTATTTGGGAAGGACTAGGGTGTGTAAGCCTTGTTGGAGGAGGTGTGTCACTGTGGGCAGGCTTTGAGGTTTCAAAAGACTACAACCATTGCCAGCATGCTTTCTCTGCCTCCTGCTCACTGATCAAGAGAGGAATTCTCACTCAGCTACTGCTCCAGCACATGTCTGCATGCCTCCCTGCCTGCTACCAGGCTCCTTGCCATGGTGGTCACAGATTCTAACCCTCTGAAACTAAAAGCCCCACATAAATTCCTTTTTTTTGTACAAGTTACCTTCATCATGGTATTTTATCATTGCAATAGAAAAGTAACTAAGACAAATTAAATGACAAATCTAAATTAAAATGCCCAGTAATACTGACTTGACTGTTTCCCTTTTTAAAAATGTTCCTGTGTCCCCAAATTCAAAACAACCTGAAAGAGTTACACAAATCAAATCATAACCCCAAACTACTTCTGCTCCTATAGAAGAAGAAAAATATATGATTAGATTTCTTCAGTTTTTTTTTTTTCATCTAAAGACACAAGCATAAAAATCTAGCTTCATATAGGCTTTTTGAAGGATTTTCACCCTGTTAAAGTAGTAAATCCTGTGGATTTTTCCTGCTTAAGATTGCTGCTGGATGGAAATAAAGCCCTTTCATAAATGATTTTTTTTTTTGCTTATACATAGTCATTTTCACCAAAAATTTTTAAAAATATTTTCATTGGTGTCTTCATTTAAAAGCTTAATGTTGATTTTTTGTGTTTGGAGCTAAAAGTCCATGTTACATATAACAGTGATATAACATAGTGCTGCTTTTGAGAATGAAGCTGGGGGGAATGCCTATGAGCTTTCCAACTGTCTTCATTTGGATTTAGATTGCTTAACAATAAAACCAGAAGGTAAAGTAAAACTCGTGACCAGGGAAATGGGAATTAAAAAGTTGATGACTGAAAGAAGGGTAGACTGCAGACAGATAGGTCAATGTATTCTACCTACATACCTTACAGACATGACCGTTGTGAGCTTGCCAGTGGGTGGAATGAAGGAAATAACCAATAATGTCTCAGCTAGAGTTTGGATGATCACATTGACCAGATAGATGCCAGACAGGCACAAATGATTGTGTTGGGCTGAGTGGAATGGAGGAGAAGGAAAAGAAAAGAAAGAAAAGAAAAGAATTCTACTCCAAAAGCTGTAACTAACACCCTGCTGAGAATCACTGAGCATGGGGCAGAGGGAAAACTACAGAAACAAAAGAATACCAGTTTTAAGAAAATCATATAATTTGAAGGAAATTAAGTCATCTGGGATTTGTGTGTGGGTGGATGTGTGGTGGACTAGTGTCATGTGTGAATATAGGCCAGAGGTCTACGTGAAGTGCCTTCTTTGGTCTCTCTCCATCTTATTTTTTGAGACAGGATCTCTGAGCCTGGAGCTCATGGATCCTGGTAGGCTGACTGGCCACTTATTTCTGTCCCCTTCCCTTTCCCCTCAAGCATTGGAACTGCAGACACAAGTTACAGGGCCTGCCTCCTCGTGGGCTCTGGTGATCCAAATGTAAGTCCCCATGCTTGCACAGCAAGCACTTTACTGACCCGTCTCCTCAACCCCTCACCTGGAATTTTTTAATGGGAGGGTATCGGGGAGGAAATGATCTAGGAATGAGTCTGTCATCCTACAATGTCTTTGGGGGTAAATAGAAGAGTGGATCTTAAAAGGGCACAGTTTAATGTATAAATTGAGGTGCTTAAGCATGAGATACTGTTTCTTTGCCCTCTCGTTATTGCCCTCTTGTTTTTTCCTCCCCTCTCCTTTTTATACAGTTTCCTCTACTTGAATAATCCCTTTCCTACCTCCATATTATTTACCTATATTTTTATTTTATTTAGAATCTCCATATGGGGGAAAACACATAGTATTTGTCTCTTATTCAGGCTTATTTTGTTTCACATGGTAATAATCCTCTCCCGTCCATTTTCCTGCAAGGAACATGATTTCATTCTTCTTTGAGATAGAACTTAAAAAATACCCTTGTGTATAGACCTTACTTTCTTTACCTGTTCATCAGGTAATGCGTCTATGCATCTTGGTGATTGTCAATAGTACTGCAGTAAACATGGGTAGTCAAATATCTCTGTAGTATGCTAGCAGCATTAGGAGTTAATGAGATAATTCACCTAAATGTTGGTCACAAGGAAAAAGTCACAGTTAACACAGTTCACCTAGATGTGAGGTTGACATGCATGTCCCACATGTAGACACAAGAAGCAGTTGTGAAAACAGAAGTATACATCCCTCTAACCTGTTTTGGTCTCAATATTTTAGAATCCTGTCTCTTCATACAATTTTCATAATGAGGTACATCTCTTACCATGAAAGAGCAAGATATCTATCCCTTTTTCTTTTTTATGATTTTAAAATTTTTCATACAGTATATATTGGTCACATTCTTTCCCCTCCCTAACTCATCCCAGGTCCCTCCCTCTTTATCTACCCCACTTCATGTGATTTTTCTCTTTT